CTGATAACAATGTTGTTGGCAGACATACTGCATAACAACAAACGCTGAAGTAATACCTCAAAAAATATGTCTCTAAGGTAGGTAACCATTCCTTTCAGACATGTCTCAATGGCTTTAGGGAAAGGTGAACTATGCTTCAAGAGGTCCAAGTCCACCCCAAAGGCAACCTGTTATCAAGATAAGACATGCACAGCAATTCACTCACGCTTAGAACATGATTGTAGCCTTTATAAAAAGTTAGAAAAGTTAGAATAAACATGTTTTTTATTCTTCAGTATTAAGAAAAAAAACAGCATGTTAAGGAAGCTCTAAAAACCTTAGTAATAACATCCAGGGTGACACAGTTGATGAGATTGAGCATATTAGCTTCTGTTTTACTGTCAGCAAGCTCTGCAAGTTTATCCATCAGTTTCTCTGCTGTCTCATTGAAGGTTCCCATTAGACCTCTCAGATACCTGGGAAAAACAAAAGTTTGATACAGAGGAACAGCGACTAAAGGATTAGTCGCTGTTCGTTATTATAATTTCATAACTCACAGGCTGCTGAACGCAGGGTCCATGATGCGTCGCTGTTTGTACCACCGCTCATGATCCCGTGCTGTTATCAGACCATCACCTAAAAACCTTGAAGACAGTTAAGACAATGATTTAAAAAAAAAAAAAAAATCTGTGAAGTGACTTCAAGAACAAACTAAAAGTCGCTGAGGGGCAAAAGAATCCAAAACTCAGTGACAATAAAGAAATAATAAAAACATTAAACAAATTATAGCAACACATTCACCCTCTCTCCTGCCAGGCAGGCAGGTGCCTGATACTGGCAATCACTGTCCCAACCAACCACAAAAGTATTATGCAATGAGTTTCAAAACAACAACCCTGCAAACATCACTGTTAAAAATTACGATAGACAGCATGAAAATGTCATCATCATAAATTCGTACATGGCTCCTATAATATGATCACTGAGGTCAGGAGTTAAATAAAATGCTAAGATGTGACACAAGGAAAGTATCACAACATGGTAATACTATCAAGTTCTATTCATTGTGACTAATAAGGTATGTACACACAACTACAATAAAGTGACTTGGATAAGCTGATACATCACCTTTGACCAAACAGGTTGAAGAGTTTTTTATAGACAGACTTCTGTTTAAGGTATTTTGGGGACATCAGGATTTCCTGAAACCAGAAACAAAATGACACAAAAGTCTGACAAAGAAGAAGAAGAAGAAGAAGAAGAAGAAGAAGAGGGCTTTAAATGTGAACAAGTCCCCAAAAGGCCAGTAGCTGGCACTGTTTATTAGCAGGGACCTCTGCCAACAGGATTGATGGGTGCACTTTCACACACAACAGGTTTGTTGCACTGTAGTCATTTTAAACTGAAACAGCAGAGATACACAGGTACTGCTAATCACAATAATTCACAGATTTACAGAAATACACCCTTTATTAATGACACCTGTGTACTGATGTGAAAACAGTCAGGTGACAAGTGTTTACCTTGGTGGCCTCTGGACAGTACGTACACAGTGAAACGTAGTGAAACATATTTATCCTGTAAACAGGTCCATACTTCTCGGCCCTGCAGGTGACATCTTAATTAGATCTTTTAAAGGCGAATGATATTAATACTGTAATACAAAGAGTACAGTAAGAACTGCAATGTATTTGTTATATAGGCAGAAATTAACAGGCAATTAGCGGCAAAATATGCTGTGAAAAAGGAAACTGCGTCAGTTCAATACAGCCAGGCTAGCTAGCATTGGCTGGCAGCAGTCCCAAACACTGACCTACATATTGTGTTAGCTTAATGGTTTGACGTGTTGTTTTCTGCATAAAAACTTTGTTTGCGCTAAACTTACCACTCCAGAAATTTGTCGTGTATAATTCCGTCATTTTTCATCGCCTTCAACATCGTTGGTGAGTGTCCGAAGAAAAAACTGAGGAGGAAACAGCGAGTTACTCTCAAGTAACGTCCGCATAACTGCTTCAGCCGACGACCTTTCCTACCTGTCCCTCGGCGGCCCGGGGATGTGGTCATACTTCATATGAATGTATTTAATGTACAAGCAGTAGCCAAGAAACGCAATGACGAGCAGAAAGAAGAGAAACGTAAGTGCCCGAGCAGCCAGGCTCAGAAGCAGGCTGGAAAGTGCCATCCTGGAAAATGTCCCGGAGACGTCCGTGTTAAAGCTGGTTGTCCTTTCAGTTAGAAAGTCCACGATCAGATAAAAGCAGCGAGCCTGTTATCAGTGACTCTTCAGACTGAAGTAGCCTACGCAGTTCAGATCATTAACACGACACTCCATCACAGTATCCCATTTAAACTTCAGGAATATCGATATGTTAGGAAGCAGAAACCATAGTGCTTCCAGTTCAGCTGCTTTGGTGCAAATAAAGCAACAAGAGGTTCACTGGAGCTGCAACAAGAAAACCTGGCTTTTCAGCTGGACCTCTGCAATGCACTCCTCATCGATCCCAGTCCCTTTAAAGCTAAGAGTATCGTATTTGATACATGTGGTTTTGTGAGTTTTATTTGTGTGACCTTTATTTACCCTCAAAAAAA